AGGCCCAGTACATAATAACTTAAACTCAAATACAGGCTAATAAGAACTCTTATCAGCCGAACCATCAATACATAAAAAAACCTTCAACCTAACACCTTTCATGAGAAATGTTTGGTTTTCCAAAGCATCTCCGATCATTAGCATAGTTGTCAAGGCAACACCTAGGCGCCTGCCTAGGCGACGAGGCTCCCTTGGAGGCTCACCTCGCCTAATCGCCAAGCAGTTTTCTATAGTGTGTTATAAAAAGCCTTTAATTCTTAATTTTTTGAGGTTATAATTATAAAATAGACATTTTTAAACTAAAATATTAATTTTGTGTGTTTATATACTAATTTCTTTTTATTATTTTCTTATTTGTTAGGGTTTAATCAACACAAACATTGCTAAATGCTGTATTGAACCCTCAAAGACTTCAAAACCTGAACCAATAAGGAAGAACATAAAATGTTGTCCAATCAACACATTTCTTCTTTTTCTTTAATAATTTTGTGTGTGTATATACTAATTTCTTCTTCTTCTTCTTCTTCTTCTTCTTCTTCTTCTTCCACCTTTTCTTTTCTTCTTTTCCTATAACAGAAATAGGGGTTGAGCCTTATATTTTTTGATTTTCTATACTTTAACATGAAGTTTATGCTTTTCTTATGAAAATTATGGATATTTATTAAGGAAATATGATTATGGAGCCTAGGAAACTACCCTAGGATACATGTTTTTACTTAAAAAAAATCCATTGCCTAGGCGACTAGGCACCCTCTTGTTGCCTAGCCTCACCTTGGTGCCTTGAAAACTATGATCATTAGTATGAGCATCTCTTCGTTTTTCAAACCATTTGGTAATATAGAGAAAAAGTTCTCTAGATGCACGGAATATAAATTCATGAAGTTTGAAGTTAATGAATGAAACCCTAACCTTCAGGTTGGTCCTTGGTCACTCTCTGGAAATTCTTTCTCCAGCACATGATTGAAGATCTTCGCAATACTTCTGCTTTCAAATTAAGGTGATACATCCAGGGAAAACTTTTCAAAAAACCTTTCGTTGTTTTCTCGCCTTAAATTCTATACTGAAGAAGGTTAAGCTTTAAGTCATATAGCAGACAAATAGAGAAAACAAATGCTAACTACAAAAAAGTAAATACAGATGTATGGATATAAAGCAAAGACCATATAGCAGACATAAAGCAAAGCTGATTCTTAGATCTCTAGAATCCATTTATTGATCTATTGATAATGTTGAAATGTATTCCTGTAGAGGGAAGTTTTGTCTTTTGAATATAGCTTTAAGAATCAGTTAACCAGGGCGTTTATATAATTTGTGCATAATTATAAATGAAAATAAAGTTTAGGTCAACAAGAGGGGAAGACTGGTTCAAATCTTCTCCCTTTGAGACCCTTGTCTCTCTTTCTTTTCTTCTTGTTCTCTACTGCAACAAGTTCTTTTCTTACACCTTTTCTCACTTTTCCTTCTCTTTCCTCACTTTGCCCTCATGTTTACATATGGTATCAGAGCTGTGAACTCGATTGTCACTGTTCACACTCTTTTTTACCTCGTAGGAGTTGAGGCTCACCTTTTCCAATACAAACAGGAAAAGGAACTTAAAAGGACTGGTCATCCCTTAGGAAAAGAAGCTTTAATGCCTCTAGTTGGTCTGTTTGAAGCATTTGAGGTGGTGTGCTAATTCATCAGGATTAATTATCTTAGATCATGCTAAATACAGCCTTATATGCTGGCCAGGCAACCGTAGGGACAAAAAAAATGCTGTACAAATTTCCTCCTGTCATTCTGTTCCAATTCAAGGTGTATTCATGTCGAATAGCCATTTTCAGGAATATAATGTAGTTGATAGAGTATCATTGATTTTGTGATTTGTTCTAACACAATCCTATTTGAATTTCGTCAAAAAATTTTGCATTTATCAAACAAATTTTTGTTTGTAATGAAAATCAGTTTCTACCTTGCTCAACTTTTTAGTCCTTTTCAGGATGAATTACGTCAACAGAAAGAGGAAGAAATGGATGACTACTGTTCCCAGGTGTGTACCCCCCTAGTGCTTCAGTACCTTCTGCCTTCACGTGTGTGGTTTATATTCTTTTTCAGAGACTCCTCATTGAGGATATCCAAAGAAGCACTGACCCTCTTTTGGGGATGAGGTTTGGACAATCTTAGACTCAAAGAGGATACATGACTTGTGTTTATATAGTCTATAGATTCCTTTTTTGTATTGAAATGTTTTCTCAACAGTTCTCTACCGTAAATTTCCCTTTTTCACTTGATAAGACTAATTTTGATTTAGTTGTCTAATGAGGACTGTAATAAGTCCAATTTCTGCTGTAAAATTAATGAGAAAGATAACAAAAACGAAGAAGAGAGAGAATAGAGAGAAGAGATAAACAGAGGAGAGAGATGAGAGGAGTGTGGGTTGACAAGAGTTGCCGCCCCACTCAGATATTTATATTAGCAACATAAATAATGCAGCAATTACACTAATGCCCCTACTGCTTACATAACTGAAATAAACTAACATAACTAATATCACTAACAACCACCTAACAACAAATATAAAACATAAAACAAGCAAGGTTTAAAATGTCAATGTCGATGAAAATGTCGCTCACCCAAATAAAGGACATATGTCGAAATGTTGGAAGTGTCGAATGGAAATATTGTAAAAAGTATAGACATTGGGGAAATATTGTGAAATATATGGAAATATGCACTAATAGTTTGTGAGATGATAAAAGAAACCTAATTACACCGTTCTATACTATTATCATATTCCAAACCATCATAGAATATTTTAACATTTTATTAATATGAAATAATATTACATGCATGCATCTCTTTTGGTTCTAACAAATAATTAGAATAAAATCATATAAACCTTTTAATATTTGTATTATTATAAAAATATTTTATTTATGCATTTTATTTTATTCTAATAATTAATTAGTTTAATCATTTTTACATTTTGTTTTTTTTTTTTTTCTGAGTATTTTATCTTTAGTATTAATCTTCGTATTATTTATTCATTTTTATTGGATTTTATAATGAGGGTCTACAATATTACCATATAAACCATTTAATATTTTTATCATTATAAATAATTTATTTATGCATTTTATTTTATTCTAATAGGTAATTAATTTTTTCATTTGTTTTTATTTTTGTTTTCTAATGAATATTGTATATTTTTTCTCAAATATTAATTTTCTTATTATTTATCCATTTTTAGTGGCTTTTGTAGTAAGGGTCTACAATAGTACAATAGACCTTCATGTACTGTAATAAGAGTGAAATAATGATTCTATTTATAAGTTTTCAATTATGAGGTCTATATTACAATAGATCTTCTTGCATTGCAACATGTTTATAAAGGTGTTTTAAAGATTCCATTTCAGGGCTTGCTATTGTGATGGTCTATAGGCTTCCATAGACCATCATGGACTGCAGCAAGTCTTTGAAGTTTAAACAAACTAGAGTTAAGGCTTAAGGATTCAATTATTCATTCGAACAAACCCTTTAGCCTCCTAAAACCTCGAAGAGACCCAGAGTGTGTCTTATAAGCAGTGAGCTGCAAACCAACACTCAATTAAGCCCTTCAAGAAATGACGAAGATAAAGAGCATTCTCCTCGACTTCGAGTTTACACCTTCCCCCCCCTCTCTCTCTCTCTCTTCTTTTTCACGGGTTTTTCATGGTTATTCACCTTGAGAGAGAAATAGGGTTATTGCGTACTTGAGAGCAATTTTTCATAAGTCAAACTTCCTACTTCCAAGTAAAAGGTATTTCAGCTCTTGACCAAGGGTATAGACCACTCTTGTGCTTGGTTAGACCCTGAAGTTGTAGTGCACTAGCTCCATGTAGACAAGCTAAAAACCTCTTCTTTTTTCCCCCTTTAACGTCTCTGTTTTTTTTTTTCCTCTTTTTATTTGACATGAGATGTTTGTAGTTGGAATATATGCTGAGTTGTCGATATATACTTGGAAATATTTCAAAATATTATACGTTTTTTTTTGTTTTTTGGAACGATATGGTCGCCATTTACCGAAATGGTTAAAACATCGACCGATATATTGTATTTTTTTAATTCATGTGAAAGTTTATGTCGCTTGGTCTTGACATTGACATATGTCAGGCGACATTTCCGAAATTTCGCTACATTTTAAACCATGAAAGCAAGTAATAGTAGCAATGGGGACCACAATAGATAAATTGACAGCAATATAACAACATTATTTCTCTATATCTCTACACTCCCCCTCAAGTTGGGAATAGATATTAATCATTCCCAACTTGCATAAATCTGTTTCTGAGGCAACTCTTTCTCTAATAAAAGAGTAATATCAAGCTGCATATTGGAGGCAATATATGGAAGACACACTTCTTAAGAGGCAACTCTTTCTCTAATAAAAGAGTAATATCAAGCTGCATATTGGAGGCAATATATGGAAGACACACTTCTTAAGAGGCAACTCTTTCTCTAATAAAGTGTCGATCCACTTCAATATGTTTAATTCTGTCATGCTGTATTGGATTATGGGCAATGTTAATAGTAGTTTAATTATCACAATTCAACATCAAGGGCTTCTCATAAGCAATGCCCAATTCCTCAAACAAGGACCTCAACCATAATACTTCAGCCACACCATGTGCCATGGATCTGTATTTTGCTTCAGCACTGGAATGAGCTACAATATTTTGTTTCTTACTTCTCTAAGAGACAAGGTTTCCTCCTATAAAAGCACAATACCCAGAAGTAGACCTCCTGTCATCAACACAACCAGCCCAATCAACATCTTTCTAAGCTTCTATCTTCATGTGACCATTATTTTTGAAGAGTATGCCTCTTCCTGAACATCTCTTCAGGTAAGCAAGTATCCTCTAAACTGCAAGAAGATGAGTGGTTCTGGGTGAATGCATATATTGGATAACAACATTGGCCGCAGAAGAAATGTCTGTTCGTGTGAGGCAAAGATAAAGAAGTCAATCTCACGGGTATCACTCCCTTTCACCACAATATCATCCACATATATTGGCATATAGCAAGTAGAGTCAAGGAGGAGTCTATTTTCTTAATGAAAAGAGTGTGATCTGATTGAGCTTGGACATAGCCAAATTTTTCAAGAGCCAGTCCAAATCTGTCAAACCCTCTTGGCAACTGTTTCAGTCTATATAAGACTTTATTCAATAGGCAGACCTTCATCCCTGCTTCTGAACTATACAATCCAAGAGGTAACTCCATGTACACCTCCTCTTGCAAATCACCATTGAGGAAGGCATTTTTAACATCCATTTGGAACAATGGCCATGAGAAATTTGCTGCAATAGATGGTAAGACTCTGGTAGTGTGCATCTTGGCTACTGGTGCAAAGGTCTCCAAATAGTCTATTCTATAAGTCTGTGTAAACCCCTTTCTACCTAATCTGGCCTTATATCACTCAACAAAGCCATCAACATTATTTTTCACTGTAAACACCCATTTGCATCAAACTGGTTTCTTCTCTTTAGGCATCAACTAGCTCCCATGTATTGTTTTTGAGAAGAGCATCCATTTCTACCTTCATGGCATCCTTCCACTCAGGCACCAATAAGGCTTCCTGCACTGTCCTGGGAATGTGAATAGAAGAAATAAATGCCAACAAAGACTTATAGGATGGAGACAAATGATCATAAGTTAGAAGCTGAGAAATACAATGTGTTGTAGATGAGGTACAACTGTGCTTCCCTTTGCAGATTGCAATTGGAAGATCAATATCATCCAAAAAGGGAGAAGGCTTAGTAATGGAAGGCATCTCATCAGACTCAGTGATGGGAGGTATCTCATCTGCAGTGGGATGTAAAGGAGATGTGGTACTTGGATTTGGGGCCGCAAAGGAAACTGGAGTTGGCCTGGACTACTGAGGACCGAAATCAACCTGTCTCCACTGCTTGTGAAACACCCTCAAATCCCTACACTTTTGACAACCCTCTCTCTACACTTCTCTTCAGTGATTGGGACAGGTAATGGAATTTCCGATGTAGCAGAACCCATCTCACTATTCTCCTCCTAAGAAGAAATTCTATGATAGTAGGGTACATCCTCAAAGAATGTGACATCCATAGAAACAAACCGTGTCCCCTTGAGTCAAACTAGAGATGTCTTGATGAGGCCTATAAATCGTTGCTATGTTATTTTTTTGATCATAAGTGTTGTACAACTTTTCCCAAATCTTATGGGCTGTTGTATAGTGCTGAACAGTCCTTGCAATTCTGGGAGTCATAGAAGTTAGCAACCATGACACTACAGTTGCATTTTCCCTACACCAAGTTCTATAACTTGGTTCATCTTCCTTGGGCTCCTTAATCTTCCCATCAATATGGCCTTCAGTCCATGACTCACTATGGACCATCTTGCTAAAATGACCCATTCCCTATAATTGTATTCATCTAATTTTACATTAGTTATTTGTACCATAGGATTTCCAAGATGAATAACATTATCAACAGTCTTGGAACCATTAGATGAGACTTCACTTGTGCTGGAGGACATCTTGAACTCACCCAAACTGATATTTAATTAGTAGAACAGGTCAAACAACACCTCCCTTTGCTCGAACTCCAAATATAACCTGGGCAGAGTGCACACAGATCTGCTGGACTGATACTACTTGCAGCCCAGAAGCTATACCTGTTAACTAGGTCTCTCTAGTAGTACATATGACTACTCCAGAAGTTCTTGGCCTCCCTGCATGTACCAGAAACTATTCTGGGCCTCGGAGATTTTTCCAAGGGAAGAACCCTAGAAACAGCTTCAGCTAACCACGACCAGCAGTAGAGTTCTTTCTTGTTGCTCCAACAATAAAAAATGAAAACTTAAGAAGAGAGAGGAGGTGAATAAAAGAGTAGGTGAGCAGAATAATAGCAGGTTATTGCTCTGATACCATGTTTGTATTCGGAGAGTTGGAGAATAGGACGACACACTCTAACCAGCCCATTAAAATGATATTTATATTAGGACAAAAATAATACATGAGATGACAACTTTACTCCCCATTAATAAGTAATGATGTAACTTAAAATAAAAGAAGGCCCAGGCCCATTAACACTTAATAACAGTACAGCCTAACAGAATAGAGAATGCTATAACATAAATGGGCCGAAGCCCATTCTATTAAGTCCCACAACAAGGGGGAGCCATTCAATGATCCTGAAAGGTATAGGAGATTAGTTGGCAAACTTATTTATCTCACTATTATTCGTCCTGATATCTCCTTTGCTGTAGGGGTTCTAAGTTGGTTCATGCAGAATCCCACAGTCATTCACTGGGGCGGTGTTGTAAGAGTATTGAGATACCTGAAAGGTGCTCCAGGCCGAGGATTACTATACAAGGGGGAGAATTAACCTTAGAGGGATATTCTGATGCAAATTGAGCAGGCTCCTTGATGGATAGAAGGTCTACTATTGGGTACTGTACCTTTTAGTGTGGCAATCTCATTACTTGGAAAAGTAAGAAACAAAGTGTAGTTGCTAGAAGTAGTGCTGAAGTTGAGTATAGAGCAATAGCCCACACCACTTGTGAGTTGACATGACTGAAACATCTCCTTCAAGAGATAGGTATTTTTATAGGGAAGCCTGTCAAGTTGTTTTTTGATAATAAAGCCGTTCATATTGCTTCCAACCCAATTTTCCATGAGAGGACCAAACATATAGAAGTTGACTGTCATTTTGGAAGAGAAAAGGTGACAAATGGTGATTGTGACTCCTTATGTCAAGTCAGAAGAATAGCTGGCAGACTTGTTTACAAAAAGTTCGTGTCGTACTAGGATGGATTATATTTGTAACAAGCTGGAGCTTTATGATATATATGCTCCAGCTTGAGGGGGAGTGTTGAAATGTTTGCCTACAAGGGCATTTTATTCCTTTTCTGTAATCTGGTATTTCCCCTGTTAAGAATCACTTAATAGGGCATTTTTGTAATTTCTGCATATTATGATGAATAGAACTACAGTGCGGGCTGATATTATAATGAAACCTCCTTTTCTTCCTCCTTTTATTTTCTTCTTGCTTTCAACTGTGTGAGACAGGTTTCCCAACCTTTTTCTTCCTTTTTCCTCTTTTTTTTTTTTTCTTTTTTATTCATAAGTTTTAATAGTAACAAAAATTACAAAATACCAAGGAAAACTATGTTTGGCTAACCCCAAGCCCAATACATTACATTACACTGAAGCCCAGAAAAATTGATCCCTATTGACCTTATGTTTGGCTAATGTATCAGAAGAACAGTTATCCGTTCTTCTCACCCATTTGAAATTAGATTCTATCTCCATTGATATCCATTTAATTTCCCTCAATGCTTGTCTATAGACCCAATCTCCTTGCTGTAAAGGTTTAGCCAGCTTACTACAGCTGTTATCTCTGCCCTTTAAAGGAGTCTTCATATCCAACTGGACCTGAATACATTGCTAAAATATTACCATTATCATGTCTGAACATACTTCCTTGCCAATTAAACTTCCTTCAAATATTTGGTCTTTATGCTGCTTGGAGAACTCAAAAACTAGACTAGAAGTTTCATGCGTACAGCCAACAGAACACCTTTATACCATCAACCAGCACTCACAAGTTTCTTGATTAACACTTTCAGTCTTTATTATTCGTTAAACACATGGTACTGTTTTCAGTAATATTCCAACCAACCTGCTTTATGCACCATTGAACTGTCACTTACCTTCAATTCTTTATCACTATCACCACCGGCCACCATGTCTATTTGAACTGTCAATTAGAGGAACTTAAAGCACAATGATGAATACCTTGTTCTTTAGTCACAAAAAAAACACAGATCTGAAACCTTATTAGGAGAATGGATTCAGATCTATGATATGGTGTCTTCATAAAAGAATAAGAAAGAGAATGAAGTGAAAAGGTGATCGCCTAGGTTAATTCTCTGATACCATATCATAAATCAGAAGACCAGCTAAATGATGATGAAAAGGAGAGAAATCAATCTTCCACCTGCAGCTGACATCTATTTATGTAGAACTCTAGCACAAATCAAATTTAGCAGACTTCCCTTAAATAACCTATGTAAATAGAAATGACCCTGCAGCCTACTCCACTGCATTGTTTCCTACTTCTAAATAGCCATAGAACCTTGCCCGCTGTGTGAATGAGACAAAGATGTTCTGTATTCTGTCTGCATTGTTGTCCAAAGGAGGGTTCCTAAGGAACTGAATTCAGCTTTTGATGGCCTAGCAACCAAGGGCTAGCACTTCTTCCATCCCATCTCAAAGATTTTAGAGACCAAGAATTACAGTGTAATTCTTTGCCTTGGGGGTTCAGACCTCAAATACAGCTCATTTCTGTGACAGAATTTGCTGATGGAGCTCAAATTGTTGTTGACTTTTTATTATGTTATTGTTTTAACCTTTAGCTTATCACAGGTTCCTGTCCGGCATCTAGTATTTATGGTTCATGGTATTGGCCAAAGGCTGGAAAAGGCTAATTTAGTTGATGACGTTGGTGATTTTCGTCAAATCACAGCAAGTCTTGCTGAGCGACACCTAACTTCATATCAGCGTGACACTCAGAGGATTCTCTTCATCCCTTGTCAGGTAGAAAGGCTTCTTTTCTTCCCATATTATAATTGTTTTTTTGGGAGGAACAAAAGATAATTACTATTTACAACTATCTGGAATTTGGAAATCCTTCGCAATATCATATCAATCAAGCACATGGCATGTTCAATAACAATAAGAACATGACAGCTTTTGTGCAACTCGTTATTGTCCTGCAGCCTGCACCAAAGATGTTTGAAGTTTTTTATGACATTATTCTTTTTTAGTTGGGATAAGGCTTAGATTATGATGATGATGATTGCATTATCCTTCTTTCAGAGGTTCAGATTGTTATCAATGTCAAGCAAAAACAATGTTCTTTAGGTTATCTTTTTACCATTTTACCTTTCCAGTAAAGAAAGAAGTTGCAGATTTTTTATGGGAGGTAATATCAAAGGAGTAAAAATGAAAATTGGTCAAAAAAGAACCAAGTATACATATGTATCTTGCTTACTGAGTATGCACAGTTTTTTCTCCTTATAATATATATAGTGATAAAAAGTACAAAATCTCTAGTAGCATCTCTAGTTAGGATTTAGGAAGTTTTCAAGGAATGCTTTCCAGCAGCAGAGTGGCTGCTGTTAAAGCACAGTTCATCTGTTTACATTTCCAGAAGTACTGTGATAACAATCACCTTCATTCCTCTTTTTTTTTGGGGGGGGGGGGGGCAGGAGGGTAAGGGGGGATTCCCATATTCTTGAGAATATAAATGATGTCAAATAGAAGATAGAAGAAAATTAAAACTATTGGAGCATTCCATTCAGTGATTAATGATGTTTAATGGGATGTCAAAGCTTGTAATGCCTATTTCTGGAAATCCCATTTTCTTCAAACCAATGGATCACTTGTTCTATCCTGCATAGGCTTTAGTATTTTGTTCTGATAAAAAAATTACTACATATGCATGTGATATGAACGTGGATTCCTTGTATAACAATAATAGCAGAAACAAATAGAAATACAGAAAGAAGGTGCACATGTCTATGAATATTCATGTTCCTATTCTCTTATTTTTGTTCTTTTTCTTCTAATTCTCATTTGAATTACTTGCTAGTTTTTCTCTTTTTTTCTTTTCTTGAATAAAATCTGATTTGTTACTTACAAACAACAATATGGTATTAGAAAACTTGTTTTTTTGGTCTGAACTGAATTTTTAGGTTCTTTGTGCTTATTCCTCCTTTTGAACTTGAAGAATGCTCTGATACCAACTTGAACACTATTTCTGGTAATCAGAATCAGGTTTGAGTGGAAAAGAAGAAAATAAAGGAAGAAAAAGAAAGATGGGCTTAGAGTCTAAAATTAGATCTGACACTCTACTCATTGTTATTTATACTGAAATTAAGAAATTACAACTTTGCCCTTAATTAAGTGCCCCTTAAGCACTTGTGACCCAGTAGACCATTTCAACAAACTAAGGTTGAGCTATACATATGCAAATTGGGTTGGGTCAGTTGATGACATTCTCCACTTCTGGCTATTGTTTGCACCTTGTTGTATTGTCTATTGCAGAAGCGAAAGGCAAGCAGACTCGATTGAGTGCAGAAGCTAAGTACAGAGCTATGGCTCATAGTGTTTAAAATTTTCTCTGGTTTTCTAACCTTCTAATGGAAATGAGAATACAGTTCTAGAATCTATAAAATTGTATTGCAATAATTAAGAGTCTGCAAACAGTGCTTACAACCCATTTCAACATGATCAGAATAAAGACATAAAGTCAATAGGCATTTTATTAGAGAGAACGATGCAAGTGGAAAGTTTTTTCTTTTATTTGTGAAATCAAAAGATCAGATAGATGATTGCTTGACTGAAATTATCTCCAAGAACAAGTTGGATAACAGTCTAGGCAAGCTGGACATGTACAACATATATGTTCAGCTTGAGGGAGTAATGCAGATATGGATGCAAAGAAAGAAATTGAAGAGAAAGGGTGAGATGGTAGACTTGCAGAATACATCATTGACAAGAGAAGAAGTGATTACTTAACCAGTCAAATCTTGGTCTATTTGGATGAAATTTGGTGGCATTAAAGTATACACTTCCTGTACTCAAATGTAATTGATTTTCAGCTCAATCTGATATGTGAAAGTTTCCCAACTAAAGGGTTCAAATGACTGATTTTTGGGTTCTGCAAGTCATGTCAAGTCTCAAGTCCTAGTCAACAGGTTGACCAATGGACCACAATGGCATTTATGATAATTGTCATCATTGCTATTTATAGTAAAGAAAACTTACAATTTAGTAATTTCTTGTTTCTTATATTTACTAGAACTAGAGAGTTATAGTGTCCTAGTTTGAAAAGAAAGTTCATACATATTTTGTTTATGGTTTGAATACACACAAGGGAGTTAGAGTCCAAGTAGGAGTTGAAAGTTTTTTTTTATTTTTTATTGTAAATAGAAAAAAATCATTAAAATAAAAGGATGATTATAATCAACTCAGGTTTGAGGAAACACAGAGGAATAAAAGTCAAAAGAAACTTTCAGAATTACAGTTTTGTAAGTCAAGAACATAGCAAAAATTATCTCTTGAATCTGAACGCCAAACTTGGACAAATTCAAGTAGTATAAACACCCAATCTGAAAGCACTTTCCAATGGTTGTCACAAATTTCTCAATCTTCTTATGTCTAGTTTCAAACACTCTTTTGCTCCTCTCTCTCAAGATGGACCAACATACAGTAAACAGAATACAGCTCCACACCACCTTAACCTTCTTGCATCCTTTAAATGATGACCACGTTTTCATCTGGGGACCTTGGCTGAAAAACTTGCATTCTGCAGAGGGATGGGTAGAATTTCCAGAAAAAAAAAAGCAATTCTACAGGAGAACAATAAATGAATATTGTTTCCTCGTTCCCTTTAAACATATAACACATTTTCCAGGCTGAAACTCCTGTTTCGTAATTGATCTGCTGTTAAAACATTATTCATAATCACCAACCACACAAAGGTTTCTACCCTTGGAGGGACAGGATTGCCTCGCACACCTTCGCATCTACTTGCATGCACCTGCAATCTTCACTAAATCTGCATAAAAGGATTTCACACCAGTGTTCCTTACACCACAATTCATCCCTGGAAGAACTTGACACCCTTGAATTTTCCAGCACTTCCAACAACCTAAAACACTCCTCCACTTCCCTATGTAAAAGTGGCCTTCTGAATTTATGACTCCAAATTAACTTTTATTCACTCCTCGTGATCAGCCAATATAAATAATCCGGCACACAGTTCACTTAACTTTCCAACTCCACTCCAATCATCTTCCCAAAATTTTATCCTAGCACCATTCCCCACCAAGAACCTAGTGAGATTCTTAAATTCTTGATTAAACTCCTTAATACATTTCCAAATACTCACCCCAAAAGAAGTGGACACCTCCCTTGATTCTCACCCAAATCTCACCACTCCATACTTTCCCACCACCACTTCTCCAAGATGAATCCCTCTCCTCTAAACCAAACCTCCAAAGCCACTTACCAAGTAACGGCCTTGTTGAATGCCCCCAATCTTCTAATACCCAAACCCCCGATTTTTGAGAACACTGTCTTGGAACTTGAAAGGGTGAATGAAGGTAATGGTGATAAAAAGAATGCTGAAGGTCATCCTAGTGCAGTTAAAAGATTTAGGCATAAAAAATTTAACATATCTGTGCCAGTTTCAAAGGTGTTTGCTAGTCTGAAGAGGAGCCTATTTGGGATTGGAATCTACAGGTGGGTCAAGAAGATAAAGAGTTGTCAAGAAAAAAAGAGTTCTCAGATCTTTTTGTAAATTCCCAATGTACAGGAGGTTTTCATTGTACATGGGCTGATGTAATTGGTTTTCTTTTGCAATGCAATACTTTACCTTCTCCAAAAACAAATTGTCAAGAAAAAAAAGAAAGAAAGAGGATACTAATGCTGCTGCTGCTGCAGATCTGGGGTGAGTAGTTTCTTGTTTTCTTTTGGGATGGAGGTCAAGCTTGAGTGGTCTGTCTGGTTGGGTCCATAGATGGTGAGAAGTGTGTCAAGTTTTGGGTTGGTTTGTGTTAAAATTGAGTTTTTGGGATGGGTGTGGAGTGCTTGAGGTTTTGCAAGTTTGAGATTGTTTTATTGCTGTGTTTTTGTTCTGTTTGTGGTGATTTCTTATCACCGTTTATATTCCTTTCATTTCTTCATTATTAATAAAATTTTTTCTTTATTATCTTCAAAAAGAAAAAGATTCAGCAACCTCAAGCTCTCTTTTGAGCCAATCTACGAAAAACTCAGTTTTTTTGGTTCAATTCCTCCCAGTGCCACCAGCTCCACTCCCTAGCCGTATATAAACCTTTGTAAAACTTCACAACTTTTTCTTGAATTTCCAGCCATCTTTGTTCCACCTCATTTCCCACAATGACTCTAGATATTGTGTTCCTCGTATGCCTTGTGTTTTACATCTGTGCTAAGGAGTTCGAACTAGTAGAGAGAAGGGAGAAAGAAGAAGAAGAACAAGGAAGAAGAAGAATAGTCGATTCTGATGGGGTAAACCCTATCAGTCGACCATATTTTACATTAGCCTCTAATTAGTTGTATAAAGACTAAACTGCCCCCTCTTAAGTATTGGACAAAAAGTCTCTATTAAAACTGCCACATAAGCACATAACTTAAAAGAAATAAAATGACTAATCTACCCTTATTTGGCTAGCTCTAACACTCCCCCTCAAGCTGGAGAATATATGTCATATAATCCCAGCTTGTTACATATATAGTTCACTCTCCCTGAGTTTAAACCTTTTGTAAACAAATCTGCCCATTGATCACCTGAGCCCACATGTTCTGTGCTTATCTCTCCAGTAAGGACCTTCCCCTCACAAATTGGCAATCAATCTCTATGTGCTTTGTTCTCTCATGAAAAACAAGGTTAGATGAGATGTGGAGTGCAGGTTGATTGTCACAGTATAATTTCATAGGTTTGTCCATGGAGAACCCGATTTCTTGTAGGAGATTCCTCAGCCATACTAATTCACATGTAGTGTGTGCCATGGCTCTGTATTCGGCTTCAGCACTGCTCCTTGCCAYAACCGTYTRCTTCTTACTCTTCCATGTCACAAGATTTCCTCCAAGAAATGTGCAGTAACCTGTAGTAGATCTTCTATCTGACATTGAGCCTGTCCAATCTGCATCTGTATAC